CCAAATGATCCATTTTAGAAAATGCACAATTATAGTATAATAGTATTTCTTTAGTTATAGCTCAAGATACATTACCGGTAATTTGAGACGCATCCAACCTACCATCCATTTTCTACTCCTTTATCCATTTCTGGGTCGGGGGGTGACCAGAGAGCCACCCAGTCCACAGAGCACCAGCTCCTCACAGATCCTCCTGCAGGTGCTGAGTCCACAGGAGGATGGCCACTCAATGGCACAGCCTTGGTCTTTCAGCGGGGGCTTCAGGCAAAGTGGGGTTAAGTGTCTTGAATGAAATTTGAGACGCATTTTCTCTGTTATTGTTGAGATATATGTATTATTCTTATGTGATGCTTTGTTGCTTTCAGGCGGCCCCTCTGTGCCTGGGACATCGCAGCCACGGCGCAGTCCCAGCTCAGTGACTGAAGGACTGAAGGAGGCACGTAAGACAGGGACCCCCACCCCACCCAGCCCCATGGTCAGCTCTGCACACAACCCCAACAAGTCTGAGATTCCTGACCGCCGCAAGGACACCAGCTCCACGCCGGTAAGAACACTGGCTTACTGACCACTGCGTGTGCTCACCAGTTTGGCAAGCCACAAGCTACATGATCTCGATGATGATGAAGTCATAAAAAGATGACATTTCCTAAAGAGGCCATTCCAATAATAAACACTGAGGCAATGTTGGGATTTTTGGCTTATGAAAACAAATCGGTGGATTGGTGGATCTTCTTGTGGACCTCTTATGGTGGGTTTTGAAAGCATAACCTTCAGGCTCAAAGGCCAATGCTCTACCAATTTGAGCTACTGTCGCCCCGTTCAAGTCCTTCCACCTAAAGCAAGCAAGCAAGCAAGCAAGCAAGCTTTATTTATATACCGCCTTTCACAGACCAGAGTCACAAAGCGGTTTACAATTGTTATTTTTTTGGGCACTTGTCCTCTCACTCCACACAGAGATGGGAGCGGGGTCGCCGAACAGGAGGCGCATGCCAGACCTATTGTACATATTTTTAGTGGTAGGGGAAACCGGAGTACCCGGGGGAAACCTACGCAGACACGGGGAGAACATGCAAACTCCACTCAGAAAGGCCCTGGTCCGGCCGGGATTCGAACCCAGAACCTTCTTGCTGAGAGGCGAGAGTGCTATCCACTCAGCCACCGTGCCGCCAGTGTCTCCCAAAGTGGGGTCTGCGGCCCCCTGGTGGGGGCGAGGGTATTGCAGGGGGGGTAAAGAGAGGTCATCAAACTATTTTTTATAATATAATTTTTGTATGTTAAATTAATAATATTTTGTTTTGTAATATTAAAATATTTATCTTCATTATTTGACCCGAATAATCAAATTGTGATCATTTGTGTTTTACAAAATGGGGTGCGTCATTTACATGTTTGTAGCAGAGGCTATTTCTCCCAAATAAAATAACGAGAACAGCCTATTTTTAACGTTGTCTTTTTGGTTATTACCTCGGGGGGCCGCGCAGACCCGTCAGATTTTTAAGGGGGCCGCGGTGTTACTGACTTTGGGAATGGCTGCCCTAAAGGATGAGACATGCGTATCATTTTCATCATAGGGATACACCTCAAGTATGAGAGAAAGTATTAGAAATAAAATCCAGGGAACCACACCGTCTGTTTTATTTTAACAACTAATGGTTTTATTTTAGCAACTAATGATGGATAATAAGTATTTAGTCAATTACAACTTACAACAAAGTATTCCATCTCAATACTTTGTTATATTCCTTTTGAGGCAATGAAAGAGGTCAAGGTTTTCACACACTCCCGGCAGATCTCTACTAGAGTCACTTTTCATCTTCATTGCCCACGCTGATGGAAGGTTTTCACACAAAATATTACAAAATAATTCTAGTCTCTGTAACAGAAAAATAGCCCCAAAGCATGATGTTTCCACTCCCATGTCTCACAGTAGGTCTGGCGTTCGTTAGCTGCAGTGCCAGACGTGTCCCCCTGCTTTAGCCAGCACATGTCCAGGCCTGTCTGGAGTTAGCTGGAGAGCATTTGGATGATCCAGGAGAGGATTGGAAGAATGTCCTATATTCCCTAATATAACAAAGTATTGAGATGGACTTTGTTGTTGACTAAATACTTATTTTCCATCATCATTTGCAAATGAATTATTTAAAACATGTAATTTCTGGATTTTTTCCCCTCATTTTGTTTCTCATAGACGATGCATACCATAGGGTTAGTCTTTGAAGTGAAAGGATGTGCACAATTGGTGGCTGACTTTTTTCCCCACTGTATGTGTAAATGTTTTCAATGAAAATCTTCACCTGCAGAGGGTGAAGGTGAAGCTGGTCCTGTTCATTAGTTTAGCTCTGATTTGGCTTCATCCAGGTCAGCGTCTCGTCCAGTGCCATGACCCGGAGGAACACATATGTGTGCATGGAGCGGCCCAGCGACCGGCCCAGCGACAGGGCCACCCCACTGCACAATGGCAAGGAGAACAGGTGAGGTCGTCATTTCAGAAATAGACCTGGGCTTCTTAGGGAGATCCGCCCTCGTTAAGGACAAGGACCTGGGCTTCTGAGGGAAAGGGCCTCAATTAGAACAGACACAGCCATTCAGAGGGACCGCTCGTGTCCCATCAGCAGTGTGGACAGTGTACTGTGCCCTTGTTTGGCAGTGGTTGTTTAGTGGAGCGTGAAGAGCAGCAGCCTGAGGCAGACTGCACTAATGCACCAGTACACATGTCTGAGCTCTGCCCATGAGTCCAGAGATCACCCAAAACGTCAGAGGGCAGTTGCTGAAGCCGGTTTGGTTTGGTGTAAGTTCAGGTTTAATTTTGATGAATTCGTATTGAGTTTCCCATTTCTAAAAAGAGTTTAGATTCAGTTGTGTGTCAGATACCACATTAACACAAGGCAACTCAGAGTTGAGGGTCAATTATGTATGGCAAATAGAATATGTAACTGATATAAGATAGATCAGATTCAGATTCATTTTATTTGCCATTTGCAGTAAAACTACATTGGAATACATTTGCAAAAGTCCCCAGTGTGCACAAGACAGGTCCATAAATAAAACAAGATTAAAATTACAGGAATAAACACAATTGACACTGTGAAATCGATCTAAAACTGTTTCAATACAAGTGCAAGATCATTAAAGTGCTCTAATAAAGATAAGACAGGAATACCAAAAACACAACAAATGTTTCCAACACAACTCAATCTGTGAAAACACATCAACTGAGCTTAGGGCAATTAGCGGAAATCTGACAGACTGTGACAGTGAAAATAGGTAAATTGAGTTTAGAACAACCAACAGACAGAACTATGAAGGAAACAACACAATTAGTGAACATGTTTGAAATTGGCAGTTGCCCCTCGCTGCGCTTCACGCGAGGGTCTGGGTCTGCTTCATAGTGGGTGAATTTCAGAGGGCGGGGCCTGGTAAAATCCTTGTATGTGATTGGATATATTGAATGACGTCTTCCTTCAACCACTCACATCAAAGCACACAACTCCCATGGGTTGCCAAATGTCGGCAAGATTTTCCAGCCCAAAACCTGCGAGAAAGCCCAAAAAAAAAAACCCAGAATGATTTTATGAGATTTCATAACACTTTGAAGCAACTTTTGTTAAAGTTAAACTCATCATTCTATCAATGTGCAGAAGCCTGTACTTTTCCACTTCATGTTTTGACTATCTCTGCTGGCACTGTGGCAGCTGCTGATTGGAGGTCTCCATGCCTCCGCTCTGTATAATACACTTGCATTCTGTTCGTGTTCGTGCTGTCTCTACCATCGACAATAAAACATGTCTTCTGTCTGAATTTAAGACGCGATCCCAGACTTGTCATCTTCTTCAATTTTTTGGCTAAAAACTTTATGCAATCAACTTGGCCTATCATGATTCTGTTTATTGTCTTTCTGTTTATTTATTACCTGCAAGTCGCTTGGAAAAAAGTATGCTGGAAACCACCCAACCTGGCAACCCTGCTGCATAGTGTTGTAAAAGGAACAGTTAAACTAGTGCTTAAACCAAACTTTACACAAACATTTGAGTCTTAAAACACACATATATCAACATAGAACCATCAACATCTCGCCTCAGATTGTATTAAAAGTGACATCCGTGTCTTAAATCGTTCGTATCTAAACTTAAAAAAAAAATTCACAGAATTTATGTCCGCCATCTTGGATTGCTTTCGCTGCCGCGTGAGACACGCACGAGAAGGCGGTGCAAACCCGACGTAACACCGGCGATCCTGATTGGGCGATTATTTTCTGATCTCCTGAAGGAGTTTGCTCTGCGCTCGATCCCAGATTGTTGTGTTCAGCCAAACGCCTCTGGTGGAGCATGGCGGAACTACAAGGGTCTGGCGAGAGTCAGGCTAAGTTGCCCCAAGAAGCACCCCAAAACACCACATGGAAAGGTAACAGGAAAATAAACACACAGATTTGAGACAATCTGGACCACATTAGGTCATAGCAATGACAAGCTAATCTGATAAACAATAGACACACTCCAGTGTAGTCAGAGGAGCTGCAGCCTTGACGGCATTCACAGGTAGCTATTAGCTTTTTTTACACTCTTGCCTTGTTTTGTTATTGCTTGTATTTTTGTATTTGTATAATATTTCAATAAATCTTCCTCCGGCTTTCTTCAAATATATGCCACCCCAAGAGCAGAGCATCAAGCGTTAGGAGTGTTCATTGTTGGTGGTGCATGCTGATATTGCACAATGTTTTTATACTTTATTTTTAAGTTTTTGAACCTTGTCGAACATCCAATCAAATGAACACAAACATGGAAACATTTTACGCCCTGGTCTTTCCAAAACAAAAAAGGAATAATCATAGGTAAACAGGTAAAACATAAATAATCACAGTACAATAAAAAGAGTGGATAAAACCCTTCAGTGGTTGCAGCTAAAGTCATTTAACCTGGATTTGAACATTCACACTATTGACACTGTTTCCAATTGACACTTGTCACTTTATTGTACATATATATCCTGCATGTAACATGTTTGCACATTTCCTCCTTTTGCACAATCTGAGTGTCTCTATCCAGGCCAAATGTGACATGTAAATTTCTCCTCTGTGAGATAAATAAAGCAATCTTATCTTAGTCCTGACTCTGGACACTAGCAGGAGGCCTGTCCCTGTGTTTGTTGTGAGGCCATGAAAAGACCAGAAAACCCATAAAAACGTGCATGTCCTGAGTTATAAAACCCTGACTTGTGCTTGTGTCCCGTGCAGCTCGGCGCCGCATCGCCTGCCCTCCACTTCCCCCTCATCACACAGCATTGCTGGGGCCTCTGGTGTGAGCTCGTCGCGCCTCTCTCGGGGGTCCACTGTCCGCAGCACCTTTCATGGGGGCCAGCTCCGCAGACCCCCGACACATGCGCCCCCTTCCTCCCCCACACCCTCCCATGACTCCAGTCTGTCCAGCCACACCCGCTCCAGGGGCACCACCAACCTGCTGAGCAAACTCACCTCCAAGCTGAGCCGCAGGTAAGGCCTCGGTCCCAGCACGCGCTCTGCTGTGTGCCCGAGTTCCCTTCACACCCTTCACACCTGCTCTGTCTGCTTCTGATGGTCACACACATGTTAACAATACTAAACCATCAGCCTCAGGTAAAACGGCTCCTCACACAAGGTCTGGAGACCTTTCACTCCCAGGAACGGACCTAGAGCATATAAATACAATATATATTATATATACTTTGAATTATAACATATACATTTATTGGATTCATCATGTTCTGTCTGTGGTCGCTTAAACGCTCGGAAACCCAACTTGTCCAGTACTTAAGTCACATATGGGGATACACTTATCACTCATAGTTCACATCAACTTTATCCCCCATGAGCCATTGCGGCATCAAGTTTGCTGAAATAGGGGACGACCTCACCTGTTGGGCAGTGGCAGCAGACAAGAGGCATTTAACATCCACGTATTTGGAGCAGTGTTATCGACATTTGCACAGTTGCAATTTTGTGGCTGCATTGTTTTATCTTCAGTCAGCTGTGATAGACAATAATAAAAGGAACTTTAATAAAAAAATTGTGTGTAATATCGTGTAACATTTTGATCAAACCCATTAGACCAAATTAATTATTGGCCATTTTATTTATTTTTACCAACTATGATTGAGAAGACTATGCCAAAAAAATGACTATTTAAACTACCTGCGTATTAAATACTAAATACTACGCAAGCATCAATGGTTTACCTCACACACAGTATGATGTGTTTGGATCTCCACTGTCCATCTGGAGACAGCGCCCCCTCATGGAGACTTTCCTTCAGGACGCTGTGTGATTGACTATTGACTTCATCAGAACAAGTGCATGTCTCTGCATTTAGAGCTTGTCCTGCTGTACCCTGCTGGTGTGAGGTGCTTATCTCCTCAGGTGTTCTCACACATTGTGCTTGACCCTCTGTCTCTGTCCATCTCATCTGCCTTTTGGACATTCTTCTCTTTTCTTCATCGGATCTCTTCTTCCTCTTCCTCTCTTTCCCTAGGGTCACTCTTGACCCTTCTAAACGTCCAAGCTCAAACAAGTCCATGTCAGGCTGCAGCCTTCCCCCGGCGACAAAACCAGTTAGTAAGTCTTCTTCTGCTGTTTGTGCTGCTTCAGTCTGTCTGACCACACACTGTGCACTGACCACACACTGACCACACACTGACCACACACTGTGCACTGACCACACACTGACCACACACTGACCACACACTGACCACACACTGTGCACTGACCACACACTGTGCACTGACCACACACTGACCACACACTGACCACACACTGTGCACTGACCACACACTGTGCACTGACCACACACTGACCACACACTGACCACACACATCACACACTGACCACACACTGTGCACTGACCACACACTGTGCACTGACCACACACTGACCACACACTGACCACACACTGTGCACTGACCACACACTGACCACACACTGACCACACACATCACACACTGACCACACACTGTGCACTGACCACACACTGACCACACACTGTGCACTGACCACACACTGACCACACACTGACCACACACATCACACACTGACCACACACTGTGCACTGACCACACACTGTGCACTGACCACACACTGACCACACACTGACCACACACTGACCACACAGCTTCACTCTGCCTGCAGCGCTCACTAACAACCTCCTTCCACAAGCGTCTTCAGTGTTGTGATGTGACTTGTATGTGTGTGGGTGTGCGTGTGGATGTGTGTATTTGTGTGTGTGTGTATGTGTGGATGTGTGGATGTGTGTGCGTGTGTATTTGTGCGTGTGTGCGTGTGGATGTGTGTATTTGTGCGTGTGGATGTGTGTATTTGTGTGTGTGTATGTGTGGATGTGTGTGCGTGTGTATTTGTGCGTGTGTGCGTGTGGATGTGTGTATTTGTTCGTGTGGATGTGTGTATTTGTGCGTGTGGTTGTGTGTATTTGTGCGTGTGTGCGTGTGGATGTGTGTATTTGTGCGTGTGGATGTGTGTATTTGTGCGTGTGTGGATGTGTGTATTTGTGCGTGTGGATGTGTGTATTTGTGCGTGTGTGTGTCACGGTCACATTCAGACTTCTAACTGTTCTTTGTGTTGTTCTTGAGGGTCACAGACGAACCTGAGAGAATCAGCAGATCTCCGCTCCCAAGGTGAGTCTCTCCACTCTTTCTGCACCGGTTCTGCTTTCAGCGGCCTCAGAATCCATTCTCTTTCCGTCTCATTGTCATTTGAGAAACAAAGCTCTAACGTCATAGCGTGAAGGGCTTTGAAAAGGAGAATTTGAACAGAAGAGGCGGGGGATGTGTTTGTGACATTTTTTGATAGAAGTTCTGATTTTAGTGTGGACTACAAACAAACTTGTGTACAAACTTGTACATAGTTCAGGTTGAATGAGTGTGTGTTTGTGAGTGCAACTGGGACGATGGAGGTAGATTAGGCTACAATCCGGAGAGGTGTGTTCATTAACATGCACTGTCCCACCCAAATAAACAAATAATTAATCATTTTAATCATGTTACAACATTTTTCAAAAACAGACAGTTCCATCCACGCTAATATGAGGAACTTCTACAGTACATAACTCGCCCCTTCTGCATAAATGCTCCTGTCTAAGTCCTGTACTTTTATTTTTTCTCATTCGTGTATTAGTATGTTGTTCCATTATCGCACTCAGAAAAGTTTTCAACCTTTTTAAATAAAATTACTGTCCTTAACTTAGCTTTGGTATTTTTTCAAGTGAGGAAAAATAATCAAGGCATCCCTCTGTTGGTAGCACAGGGATAGGCCAGGCCGATAGCATTAATTCAGTGTTTTTTCAACCAGTGTGCCATGGCACGGTGGTGGGCCTTCAGACGTTTATTAGTGTGCCTCGGAAATGATCAAAAATCACGTGCTTGGTCAAAATCATATATATACTATTGTCTATATAATACAAACTTAAGAGAATCACTTTGCTTTGTTCATGTAAGCTGTAGAGTTTACATTTTGTGATAGTTTCAGCTGCTGGTGTGCCATGTGATTGTTCGCAATGACAAAGGTGTGCCTCGACTCAAAAAGGTTGGGGAACACTGCATTAATTACTTGATAGTACGTGTTTCACCATGTATTTTCATCTGAAGATTATATTTCACATTCTATAACATGAAATTATAAAGTAAATAGTTGAATTACCATTTTAATAGCCAAATGTTATGCATAATATTATTTCTTTAAGTCAAATGTATTTTGACCTTGATCATTGCAAAGAAGGAAAAATGAGGGAGGAATGTGTCTGACATGTTTGTGAGTGTCCACAAGAGGGCAGTGTGCTGATGTGTCTGTGTTCTGCAGCGCTGGCACGCTCCCACAGTGAGGTCACAGGACCCAGGTAACTGTGTGTACCCTGAACCCTGTGTGCCCAGGACTGTGTTAGGCTCCAGCAGGATGCACCCATGCCCCCTCATAGTGTGGCCCTCATCCTGGTGTTAGAGGTGTAGTGTTTCTGCTGTTTGTTCACCAGGATGTGCAGGTTTGTGACTGTCTGCTGTGACCGCTGCACTGGCATCTGGTCTCAGGTCGGTGAGGGACAGGTCTCTCTCTTGTGTGGGACAGGTCTCTCTCTTGTGTAGGACAGGTCTCTCTCTTGTGTGGGACAGGTCTCTCTCTTGTGTAGGACAGGTCTCTCTCTTGTGTGGGACAGGTCTCTCTCTTGTGTAGGACAGGTCTCTCTTGTGTGGGACAGGTCTCTCTCTTGTGTAGGACAGGTCTCTCTCTTGTGTAGGACAGGTCTCTCTCTTGTGTAGGACAGGTCTCTCTCTTGTATGGGACAGGTCTCTCTCTTGTGTAGGACAGGTCTCTCTCTTGTGTAGGACAGGTCTCTCTTGTGTAGGACAGGTCTCTCTTGTGTAGGACAGGTCTCTCTCTTGTGTGGGACAGGTCTCTCTTGTGTGGGACAGGTCTCTCTCTTGTGTGGGACAGGTCTCTCTTGTGTAGGACAGGTCTCTCTCTTGTGTGGGACAGGTCTCTCTCTTGTGTAGGACAGGTCTCTCTCTTGTGTGGGACAGGTCTCTCTCTTGTGTAGGACAGGTCTCTCTCTTGTGTGGGACAGGTCTCTCTCTTGTGTAGGACAGGTCTCTCTCTTGTGTAGGACAGGTCTCTCTTGTGTAGGACAGGTCTCTCTTGTGTAGGACAGGTCTCTCTCTTGTGTGGGACAGGTCTCTCTTGTGTGGGACAGGTCTCTCTCTTGTGTAGGACAGGTCTCTCTCTTGTGTGGGACAGGTCTCTCTCTTGTGTAGGACAGGTCTCTCTCTTGTGTAGGACAGGTCTCTCTCTTGTGTGGGACAGGTCTCTCTCTTGTGTAGGACAGGTCTCTCTCTTGTGTAGGACAGGTCTCTCTCTTGTGTAGGACAGGTCTCTCTCTTGTGTGGGACAGGTCTCTCTTGTGTAGGACAGGTCTCTCTTGTGTAGGACAGGTCTCTCTTGTGTAGGACAGGTCTCTCTTGTGTAGGACAGGTC